AAGTCAAGAATAACACGACAATCCGAGAAAAGTGGCGCAGGGTCCCGTGTTAGTGACGATACTGGGGTGTTAGCACACGCTGATCGCAGTAATTTTCCAGCCCATCAAAAAACAGTGTACAATAAACCCTCGGAAACTTGTACTAAACGTTTCAACAGTTCCCACTGCTTACAACACTGAATAAACCAGATTCACCAGGGAAAATGCGAAGAGATTACCTTTGACGGAAATATTTGTAAGGTAACGTCTTTTTCGAATGTATGAAATGATCACTGCTTTCCAGTAACTTCGATAAGTGATCAAGCCCATGTCGGAAAGTGGGTGCTCCGGACCACCGATTTTCCGCTCTCGCAGCGAAAGTTTATAACCTGAGAATGTAAAATTCCTTGCTGCATTTTTTTCACTGAGTTTGTCAAAAGTTTGTGAAAAGGACCAGCAGCTTGTCAAAAAACGCAATCAATTGCCACGGATAATTTATTGTTGGCCCCCATTCATAGCTTCTCGCTTGTTTTCGGATTGCCCAATGCACTCATCTCCGCCTCCACTTTGCAAAACGAAAATTGATGGATAATTCAGCAAAAAATCATCGAAAAAACAAATATGACAGCCAGTAAACGACTGTCGAACTATCCATTAAAACTATGACATCGAAGTTAACTTACACTGCATGAGAACTCGAAGTAGGATTTAGCTTATGCTGAACGAGAACTTTTACCAACGAGAGGCAAAAACAACTGGAAGTTGTTCGCGCTGTTTACGTACGAACACCAGCCAGCCACTGTCAGGGCTCTCGGTGGTTTAAAAATCTACGTAGGAATCAAGCTGATACTGAGTTAAATCATTTAATATGGCTCAATACCAACGCTTTTCTCGTAATTTTTCCCTCTTGCGGTCATGCTCGTTCTTCCATTTTCTTTTATTCATATGTCAAGTCTTTTTTTTTTCTTATTTTTTATTATCTCTTTTCCTTCGATTACCCTCAAACACATACTTATATATCCTTCAATTACACCCTAATTAATCAACACCAAATTGGTAGCACTGATGAGATCTAGCTGTGGTGCTGAGTAGGAATAAACGTGATTTGATGGACAGAAACATTTCTATTCCGCTGATTAATTTTTATATCTTATACGTACCATCATTAAAAACTTCACTACGCTGAACGAATGAGCGAATTATTGGGGAAATGGGGAGGAGTCGAACTCTCGTCTTCTGCACGAGAAGAGTGCTACTTAATACTGCGCATATCCGCCAGCCACACGCACTGCATGATAGGAAAATGTGGTAAAAGCTTACTGAGATCGATGAGAAATTTGCCAAATCCCGTTCGCTGAGAAGAAGGAAGCGTCAGCAGGCAGCTCAGATTGTTATTCTTGCTCGGATTCTTTTCCTTCAAATAGATCCGCTTTACTTATCCCCAAATAAAAAAAAAAAAAAAAGGATTGCCACAACACATTCTGGCAGTAGTTCCAGCAAAACAATAACTTCCAGCAAACAATTCAAAAACAGACGCCTCTACAGGATATTTGGCCACAGCGCACTTTTTAGGACAAATAACTTAGCAATTATACCTTGGCAACTGTAAAGACGTGAATGTGTCGCCCACCTAGGCCCATATACCTCAAGGTCTCTTGGGTTATGATCAGGGTCGGTCATCCCCCAAAATGGGAGATGTAAAGGCGAATATATCTCCTTGCTTCTCTACCCCTCCATCCCGAGGATCCGATGTTCGGGGTCCGCGTTCACCTGCTATCAACAGTGCCGGCTGACACACTTCGCTTCGACAGGCGTCTGTGATCTACTTAATCTTAATCCTACTCTCGCGCGCCTGTAATTATTATCGCGTGTAATAAATCTTGTCCTAATTTAGTCTGGCCCGACACCTTCAGGAGTTTCGATCCACTGACATACGCGGTACCTAGATTCAAATAAACTCTCTTTTTCTCAACCACAATAAGCAAGGCACACACTATGCTGAAAATGTATTTGCCTGAGCACGACCTCTTAAAACAGAAAATTTAGCATATTCATCTTCCATTCCGAGTGCTCTCTCGTATAATGTTCTAAAAAGGAAACCTTCCCAGAGGCATAAGCAAGAAAAATCCATTGAAGAACGCGTACCTTTGAAAAATAGCCAAGCAAAACGTGTCCTTCGGGAGTGAGCTCAGTGAGAATGTAGAACAAGAATGTTTCCACTTCATGATGGAGAGTTTTTGAGAACAAAAATAGCTTCGACAAAAGGCAAAGTCTTCGACAGTACGACTGCAAATATATGAAAATTATTTCCCACGGACAACCGGAAGAACCAAAAGAATGCAAAACTGGCTCGTGACCTCAACAATATTTTTTTAGGGATAATTATCCCAAGTGCGCCTGTACTGGGCCTAATCGTTGGGAGATGAACAAGCGAACTAAACCAAAAAATTTTCGATTTTCGTCGATTCCAAAGACAAAACAGTCAAACTACGTTTCCGAAAATGGAAAGAAATATGAAAAAATTTTTTATTCACAAAATACCTCACCGTGGTCTGGAAGCGGTAATGTTGAAACTGGATGATGATGTTGAATACAAAACCAAGGATATTTCGAAACGACTGAAGTCCTGCCAAATATTTCGGTTAGGGGAATCGTTCGGGCTTCCCCGACCGAAATATATGGCAGGATTTTAGCCGTTTCGAAATTCCAAAGACGAAAGAACTTCAAGGCATCAAGCAGGCTGACTACCAAACGATGCAGCAGTGGCCGAAAGAACTGAAAAAACTGCGCAAATGGAGGACCGGACTATGAAATGCGGCTAATCAAAACATCCAATTAATGCAAAAATATTAATCAAAGGGGGGATATACGTATGAAAAAACTGCAAATATAACAGGAAGTAAAGTAGTAATGGGCAACAAAGGACAAAGTAGCCGAAAAGTCCAACAAGCAAATTAATGACATACTATAAATGTATACAGTTCCAGGCCTGCCTTTGTTTCATTCTCAACAAGCAGAGAGAAATTCAGACCAAGAAAGGGAGGGGTGAAATTGAAACCTGGTGAAGAAAAATTTGACAAAAATCAGCTGCACTGCTGCAACTCTGGAATTTCAGACCGTCAGCACAGATTTTAAAAGCCGAAAAAGATGCTAGCACTAACAATTTCATCGATGCCATCAATCTCCCAGAACGATAAGACGCCGTCTCGGTAAATTTCATTTCCAGGTGGATGCTGCCATTTGCAGTGAGTCTGCAAGCAAAATCATTCATCATTCAGTGGACAATGCTTGGACCACTGGCGCTGCTTATAAAAAAAAGAAGAGTGCCAGGCAGAATGCTAACCTCCAGGTGATACATCACTGTATAAATTAACTGGAAAAATCGCCAGTTGAATAGCTAAAGAAACATAACAGCTGTTTCATTTTCTACGGAGATGTTGGGGAAAAGAATGTCTGCTAGAAAGGGAGTTCTAAAATATTTCAGCGCATTTCATCAGTACAAAAATAAATGGTCAGCGCACCGACTACCGGTGCGAAGATGCGTTTTTTGCATAGTTCCCCGCAGATTTTTGTCGCTAACGGTACTGGTTTTTCCGGAAGATGCTTGTAGCTAAAAGAATTGAGACTGGTCACCAGGACTGTCAGGAAACATCGCTTTAAAATTTCAGCTCTCTAGCTTCTCTGGTTCCCGAGTTAGCAATTTACCCGCAAAAAAATTCTCTGGCCCGTACATAGGAACCATGCATACCCAGGGGCTGAATTTGAACTCTTTAACACCTATGTGGACGGGGAACATCCCCTTAAAATTCCAATCTTCTAGCTTCTCAGGTTCCCGAGTTAGCAACTTACCCGAAGAAAACTTTCACGAGCTTGTACGTGGGTACCATCCATACCCAGTGTCTTGTTTTGAGCTCATTAACGCCTACTTGGGCGGGAACATTTCCTTAAAGTTTAAGTCTTCTAGCTTTTCAGCTTTCAGAGTTAGCAACTTACCCGGAGAGAACCTTCACGGGCCCGCAGGTGGATACCTCGCATATTCGAAGGCTAGGTTTGAACCCATGAACACTTGCATGGACGGGGAATGTCCCCTTGGAATTCCAGCTTCTCTGGTTCCTGAGTTAGCAGCTCGTCCGTAAAAAACTTTGGCCGAGCTCGTACTTGGGTACCAAGCGCCCACTTTAGGGATGGGGGCCCGCACATGCCTGTAGATTTTCTTCAGTCCGGTAGCTCTTGTAGGTCCTGAGATGAAAAATCGGTACAGACGAACACAAACACACACACACACAGACAACCCCGTGACAATATGCGTTTTGTACTGCTGTTACACAGCACAAAACGCACAAAAAATACCATGTGGATTTGGTACATTGTGGAATTTGCCATAGCGGTGAGGCAGAAACGGCAAATGTAAACATTCGATGACTGAGCGATGCGTTTCGGATAGGGAGATGGATAGAGCGCTAATAAAAACTGCGATCCAAACTGAATCCACTGCCTGTGTCCAGTTGCTTCTTCATTGACAGCATTCATTTCTTCAGATGACTCTGTTGCTAGCAGTTCTTTCTTTGCAGTCATATACCTAAATTGTATTAGCCCTTTCTACGCAGCTTCCATAGATGTTTTATGTGTCAATCTGCATATTATGTGCAGATGATGCAGCTTTGAGACACGGAAAGTCTGAGAGTCGTTGCGGCGACACATGAAAGTACACTATGATGAAACAATAACCAGTAAAAGCGCCAAAAATAGGACTATCGACGATAGTTCCCTCACCCTCCTAACTTATTCTTGGACAAAATTCTGATCCTCTGACTAGAACTGAATAATTTGGCTCCCCTTTACGGCAGAAAAAGTGAAGAAAACGATCGAGACAAGAGAGAAGAGCATATCAGAAATACGAAATTCACAAAAAACTCACAAATTATAATCAAAGGAAGCTGATGCTTCTTTCATTAT